AAAAAGTGGCATAACTCAAAGTCTATATTCAGGCCTGCTGGTTGTATAATATTTAATCTAAAAAAAATCCATTGCATTTCTATTGGACTTAATTTTTTATTTAAAGTTTCTCCGACCCTGTTTTTATTCCTTTTATAGAACCTCCCTAAAAACTTATTCCCAGTGGATTTCATTTTAAAATGGAGGGGTAGTCTATGATTTTAAAATAGATTCTTAATATTTCTGATATGTTACTGCATTTCGATCTATAAGGGATGGGTGATTTTTTTTTCAATTGTAGAGAAGTCCACAAGAGGCATATTATTATATAAATTACATATTTAGTTTAACAGATTATTTTACCTGTTTAATTTTATAGTTCGTTTCCTTGTGGGTGTTTAAAAACTTTTATTTGACAATTTTTGTTTCCAGTTTTGAATCAAGTAGAACAATTTTCAAAGCTACAAAAAAACTAAAACCTTTGTTTAGATGAATAAAAAATGTCCCAGAATGGCCTACAAGGCTACAGGGGTGCACCCAATCTGAGCATCTGCGTAATTTCATTGAAAAGGAGTGTTGTACTAACCAATAAAAATCCCCTTCAGAAGCTGTGTACATATAATCGGGGGAGGCAGCCTTTGGCAATTGAGATGTTGCGGACATCTCATGTGATGATTTGCAAGCATTAAGGATGTAGAGCATTGTGGGAGATGTAGTCCACAACATCTGGAGTGCGAAATGTTGCCTACCCCTGACATATAACATTAACCCCTTAAGGACTGGTCTGTTTTTGCGATGTTGTATATTTGCGACCAGGCATATTTTTACACTTTTGTGGTGTTTGTGTTTAGCTGTAATTTTCTGCTCTCTCATTTACTGTTCCCATACAAATTATATATTGTTTTTTTCAGGACAAAAGGGGCTTTCTTTACATACCATTATTTATATAATCTCATGTATTTTAATTTAAAAAAAAAATTAAACAAATGATGAAAAATTGAAAAAAATACATGTTTTTTGACTTTTACTTGAAAAATCTTTTGCTCATCTACAAAAGCGAATGAAAAAAACTGCTAAATAGATTCAAAATTTTGTACTGAGTTTAAAAATACCCAGTGTTTACCTGCTTTTTTGCTTTTTTTTGCAAGTTATAGGGCTATAGGTACAAGTAGGATATTGCGGTTTCAAAACATACATTTTTAAAATTTATCAATAGTGACATTGTAACACTATTATCTGTTATAAATCTCTGAATAACACCCCACATGTACATATTTTTTTTAAAGTAGACAACCCAGGGTATTCAATATGGGGTATGTCCGGTCTTTAGTAGCCACTTAGTCGAAAACACTGGCCAAAGTTAGCATTCATATTTGTTTGTGTGTGAAAAAAGTAAAAAACTAAATTGAAAGCTAATTTTGGCCAGTGTTTGTGACTAAGTGGTTACTAAAAAAGACTGGACATATCCCATTTGCAATACCTTGGGTTGTCTTCTTTTGCAAATGTTATGCCATCATGGGGGTAATTCTCATTCCTGGGCTACCATACGCTCTCAAAGGCAACGTAACCAACCTGGCCATTTTCAATGTAAAAATATTTGACCCATATATTTGACCTTGTAACTTTCAAAAATGCTATAAAACCTGTACATGGGGGGTACTGTTTTACTTGGGAGACATCGCTGAACACAAATATTAGTGTTTAAAAACTGGAAAACGTATCACAACAATTACATCATCAGTAAAAGTGCTGTTTGTGTGTGAAAAATGCAAAAAACTTCACTTTCACTGACAATATCATTGCTGTGATATGTTTTACTGTTTTGAATCACTAATATTTGTGTTCAGCGAAGTCTCCCGAGTAAAACAGCACCCTCCATGTACAGGTTTTAGGGTGTCGTAGAACGTTACAGGGTAAAATACAGTGCTAGCAAATTAAATTCTCTGGGCTTTCGGCCTCGGTTGGCAGGCAGGTCCCTCAAATTGCAATCAATAAAATTACTTAATTATGTAGAAATATTACATAAATACGCACGTAGAACTTAAAAATATATGCATATTTATATATTTGAAGTCTACGTGTATATTTATATAATTATTTATGTAATTTTGTATATGGACATATGTATATTTCGTATTATTTTTATTTACTTATATATACATAGATATATATACAAATTCATTCTAAGTGTATTTTGATATATATATATATTAATTTTAAAATACAGTTAGAATAAAATTTCATATAGATATATAATTTTTAAAAAAAATGTATTATTTTTAAAAAAAAATAATTTAATTTAAATTACTTATTATTTATATTTTATTATAATATATATACACAATATATATAGTTATTATATATATTATATATATACGTGTGTAATTTAATTATAAGTGTATTTTTATAAAAATACACTTAGTATGACATTATATATATGATATATAGACATATATTATATAAATATATAAATACACATATATAATTATTTTTTTAATTAACATTAACTTTTATTTTTTTTATTGATTTTACACTTGCAGGGAGACTGACTGTCAGCACAGACAGTCCCCCTGCAGGCAGACACATGGACACCTATTGTGACCATGTGATCGCTGTGTTGAGCGATCACATGGCCACAGGGGTCCTAATCCGGTGTGGGGAGACTGTCTGGGCTGCAGGCAGTCTCCCCACACCGGGAGCCACGCTGATCGCCGCCGGGGGAACGACGGTGATCGGGTAAGTAACTAGGACCGTTAGGACGGTTCAGGACCGTCAGCGCTCGGCAATGGAAAAATGCCGATGACGGTCCTGAACCGTCCGCGGTCCTTAAGGGGTTAACAACTCATCATCATTATTATTATTATTTATAAAGCACCAACATGTTCCTTAGCGCTGTACAATGGGTGGACTAACAGACACGTTTTTGTAACCAGACGAGTTGGACGCACAGGAACAGAGGGGTTGAGGGCCCTGCTCAATGAGCTTACATCCTAGATGGAGTGGGGTAATGTGACACAAAAGGTAAGGGTAGGGTAGAAAAGTAGGTTGCTAGGATAGTATTTATTGAGGGCTTAGTGTTTAGATGACAGTTTCAGGAGAGGAATCAAGGTGCGGGAAGGAAAGCTGTTCACAGTTTAATTGATTTGCTTTCCTAAAGAAGTACGTTTTCAAAGATTTTTTGAAGGAGTGGAGATTGTGAGAAAGTCTAACAGAGAAGGGAAGGGCGTTCCATAGGAACGGTGCAGCCCTAGAGAAGTCTTTAAGGTGGGCATCAGAAGTAGGAGTACAAACAGAGGTTTGTAGGTCTCCGGCAGAGAGTAGGGGCCTAGATGGGATATATTTGTGTATTAGTGAGGATAAGTAGGTCGGGCAGCAATGAGTAGAGATTTGTAAGTAAGTATCAGGATCCTAAATTAAGTCCTATATCTTATGGGAAGCCAATGTAGGGACTGACAAACGGGGAGGGGTGGGAGGTACAGGCAGACAGGAAGATGAACCTCGCCGACGCATTCATTATAGACTGTAACGAGGCAAGTTGGGAACACTTAAGACAACTGAGAAGCAGATTGCAGTAGTCAAGGCGAGAGAGGACAGTGGCATGGACAAGCACCTTTGCCATATCATGCGTTAAATAGGGTCGGATGTGCGCAATGTTTTTGAGATGGAAGCGGCAGGATTTGGTGATTGATTGGACATAACTCAATTACCCCAATGAACCACTTCGCCACAGGACTAGTGCATACACGGTACCCTGGGAATGTTACCATAGCCTTGAATAACGTATACAAGATTTAACCAACTGCAAATGAAATTTGTTTATTGTATATGAATTTTGTTTGCAACTGGTGCCCTTTTTATAGGCTGTGAAGACAGAGCCAGCATTACAGAGCCGGTGCCAAGTTTCACATTGTTCTAATAAACCGATGTTTAAAAAAGTTACATAATCCACTCTGGCCAAGAACAGTGCAATCTATGATTTCCAAAGTTCACAGCGACACAATAAATAAATAAAATTAAAATCTACACAAAAACAATATGTGATAATATACTTTGCAACATTTCAAATGTACAAAGAGGGATACTGTAATTATAGGAGTGTGGCTGTTTAAGACATTTATGCAATTAAGATGTGATTTAGAACAATAACAATGCATCTTATTTACACAGACCAAATTCTAAACATATTTTATTGTAGTATAAAGACACATTACTGGGAATATCATTGCAGAGGAGCTCTGTTATACACTCAGACACACCAACAATATGGAGCTCCTAGAAAAGAGGGACATTAGAATAGAAAAGAGAAACAGAGAGACTTGGACCCAAAATAGCGACTGTCCCTCCTAAAGAGGGACACTTGGGAGGTACGGGTCAAGGCACATCATTGTTAGGCCATCTAAGACACACACATCATTTTCTTTTTCTTTTTGTGACACTATAGCGTTTTTAATTTTTTTAATCTTTTTTTTCTTCTTTTTACACAACATGCGGTTTGCTGTGAGTACACTATGTTCTCAGGCTCTGCGTGAAGACTGAAAGGGTTAATCTCAAGTATAAACATATAAAGCAAAGAAATTTAACGGAGAATCTCTGGGAAACACAAACAAAAACGTGTTTCCATGGCAACTGAATACTGCCGACAAAACAAAGAAGCTTTTTATAGAATTATTTCCAACGAGTCTGCCATATGCTCAACACAGTATCGTTCAAGAGAAGAAACATTGAGTACAAACAATTAGGAAGCCCTTACCTTCACCTGGGATACAGATAGTATTAAAAAAAAAAAAAAATTACATAACATATTTTAACAAAAAAAATATATAATTGTTATATAATCTTCACTATTAGTAAGAGCAATAATAACAACAATTAACGTATACTGGCACAGTGGACAAAAGGCCATGTTTATCAAACAAAACTGGAGCAATTATTGGATGAAATATTGAATGTACTTGGCAAGACCCTGGTAGAGCCCATTTCAAAAGATATAAAAAGACTACTTGCAAACTAATGAACATTCAGTTACCTCCCCTACCACACTCTGGGCAGCACATTACCCTGTCGTAAGAGGAAAACGTATCAGCGCGGCCAGCTGTGCCAAAAAGCGGCACACTGAACAAATCACTGAACTAGATTCCCTCCGTAAACATAAAACCTTGACACAGGTCCCATGCTCCAGAGGGTCAGCTTCAAGCTACATTGTCTCAAAGCTCATCAGGTCTCGTCATGGACGTTGCGGATTAAACACCGCAAATAAGCAAACAACCTGATTAAACAAAAATAGCCTGCATAAAAGTCAGGGTAGACCCCTGCACCAGCATCGCAGCAGGTTCCAGCCATCCGATCTCATAACATGACGAACCTGGGGGATCACTTGTGAAAACATCACCTGAAATGCTTTAGTTTCCAGTCAGGGGGAAAGAATGGGTTAAACACTAACGGGGTCAGTGGAGAAGAAAAAGAGTAGAGGCTCAGCGGCTGTGCCAGGGAGTTTCAAGCAAATAATGTTGCCCTTATAAAAGGGCTGATGAAGGCCAGTCACCTGCCAACTGTTTTATCTAACCACAAAACGGCCTCTAAAGGTCTGCATACCTGCATCACTTCTTCTTCCAGTGGGCACCTGTCCCTTCCGTTGGCCTTTCAACTACCTTCAAAAGGTGGCAAGCCTGATAATACAACGTCAAGTCTGGTACCACCAGACATTCCCTGGACTTCAGAAGGGCCAGTTGGGAAAAAGTTTGTCTAGGTTTTACCTTTTTCAGATATAGTTAAGGAGTAGTGATCTTAATGAGGGAAAAAAGGCAGTAGGTATCACTATATCTTGCGCGATAGCTCAGTGGGCTAATGCATCATCAGTAGAATCTGTTCAACCCTTGGGTCGAATCCCGGCAGGGTTGACTCAGCCCTTCATCCTTCCGAGGTAGATGAAAGTACTTGAAAACCAGAGTAATCTGAATGTGCCTTTCCTAGTTAAATACATTGTTATTATTATAGGCAGCATCTGAAAAAGATACAGAAGTCTGGGAAGAGGGTTCACCCTGCCTATCCAAGAGAGGTGAGGCAACGACCATTTCGCTAGGTCTATGCATAATACTGACAACATTGGGGGAGGAAGCAATAAAGGCAGTGGCTTACATGCAGGGGTCGCGGCTGCGACCGGGCCCGGCCCACCAGGGGGCCAGGCCGTTCTCCGGTATGTATGCCACTGTGGCTAGCCTCTTCTCCTGGGGGGCCCAGGAGCCGGCCACCTCAGGGCCCCCTGAGGCTGGCCCTGGTATCTAAATATAGTTCAAATCTGGTCTAAGACTCTGGAAACTTCAACTTATCTTGCAAATAAAAACATTAATTAATTAAAAAACAAAAACAGTTATTTTTAAAACGAATACAAACATTCTAACCATTGGTATGGAATGTATTTATTTTAAAATCAAGCTTTGCTTTACAGAACGATACCATAAAAGTTGTCACGGACTCTAGAATTCAATGAGGGTCATTTCTGCTGAAAAAATAATGACAATGTTGTCATCAGATTAAGGATCTAATTTTACATATTGCAAGGCAGTGACATAAATCACTCCTGGCACCTTCCCTAAATATGCTGAAAGGATGCAAGATCTGCTGAAGCACTCTTATTTTAGAAATAGATATATTTAAATAGTTTGGTTAGACGTGCTAGGTTTAGTTTACTGGCCTTTACTGGCCTTACCTTTAAATATAAAAAGCAATACAACTCACCAATAATGCAGAGCCAGGGCAGTCTCCTCTCTATACCCTCTTCCACGCACAATCTCTGTCCATTCAGATACTTCCTATAAAGAAGCATTGAGGACACCGGACATATACATCCCAATTCCTGCAATATCCCTGTCCAACGCATCTCTGTGAGAAGCATAAGCAATTATTATGGAGTGCGGTGACACCGAAAATTAAGTTTTTTGAAAATATAAAGATTTTAGAGAAGAGGCCTCTCTGCTGGTTGTTTGGTGGCTACACCAGATGTTTGTTTTTGGCAAAATGTAAACAAAGCTATTTCTCAGAAACAGCAATATTGTGCATTGTCAGACAGAATCTGTGCATCCTATGACTATCCCTCTGGCAATCGAGTTGGGTTTATTTGCAATGATGTTCACACAGCAGTTGTCTCAGCTGTGCCATGAGATATATAATTAACCATTCAAAATAGCTTGAAACCTTCCAATGGCTTCTGCGTTTTTCACCAAGGTGTGATTAAAGGGACAATCCAGGCACCCAGACCACTTCTGCCCATTGGAGTGGTCTGGGTGCCAACTCCCACTACCCTTAACCCTGCAGCTGTAAATATTGCAGTTTTCATAAACTGCAATAATTACATTGCAGGGTTAACTCCTCCTCTAGTGGCTGTTTACTAGACAGCCACTAGAGGGCACTTCCTGGTTTCTAGCACAGGTTTTCTGTGCTAGAGTGTCGCTGGACGTCCTCACGCTGTGTGAGGACCTCCAGCGTCACTCAATTCCCAATAGGAAAGCATTGAAAGCATTTTCAATGCTTTCCTGTGGAGAGGTCTAATGCGCGCATGCGCATTAGGTCTCCCCCACAGGCGGCAGCGCATGCGAGATCGGTCTCCCCCGCCGGATGACTTCGGGGGAGGAGCATGGGTGGACCAGAAACCACCGCCGAGGGACATAGGCGCTGGTCTCAGGTAAGTCCCTGAAGGGGTTTTCACCCCTTCAGCAACATGGGATAGGAGAGGGTACCTGCAATGCCAGGAAAACGGTTTGTTTTCCTGGCACTGGAGTGTCCCTTTAATTGGGAATCCAAAGTAAATTCAAAGTGAAATTCAAATATTAGGCCAAAGTAGAAAATTGGGAAAATTCTCAATGCACGCAATGTTTCATATTTGGCTAATTTGACTTAAAATGTGAAATTCTCTGTCAAATTCACACTTTTGTGAATAATCCTACAACCGTGAAACTGGCTGGGTTATTGTTAGAATTGCCAGGATTTCAAAGAAAATGAAAAAAAGTGAATTTTAAATTGTATATCAAAATAACAGAGCATTCACCATAACTAACTACATTGAGAGGAATTAATTAAATGAGGTTTATGAAAGGATAAAGGGTTGAAACCAAGGGAGAGAATAAAGAAAAGGATAACTATAAAATAGAGAGAAATCAATCTCTCCCTGCAATTCCTGGGTTGACTGTCCAGTTCAGTTCAAATTTTCTCTAAAAATGTGAAAAATAACAAAAATGTTATTTTAACCAATATTCAACAAAAGGGGACACTGTGTCACAGATGATACAATATAACTATAAATAATAATAATAATATTTACAAGCTTTGGTTATAGCTATTTCTGAACAAACTTATTTTTGATTACTCGTTGTAATAAACAGAATTGCATTCAAAATAAACCACTAACTGACCACAAACATGTAACGTCAAATTAGATTTGTGGGAAAATTCGATATGTACGTCAATAAAAGCATCTTGCTATAGCACAGTGCCAGTTCTGCTCACAGAACTTTACATGGTTAACTCTAACTCGCAAAAAGTTTCGATTCTTATCTGTCCTGGATATGAGCACAGGATAATATAGCACGTGATTTATTCCCGAGATTAACTGGTCCATGCTTTCATTTCACTCATAAGGAGTTTACTCACTGATATGTAGTTTGTCTAAAATTCAAAGTGAATTTAACATTTTCACATTTTAGGACAAAGTAGCCAAATAAAAATTTAGATGATCTGTTTTTTTTTTTGTTTGTTTTTTTTTTAGCCAACGCATTCTGAAGTTTGAAAATCACTTTAAATTCTCGATAACTCACACTTTAATATATAGCCATAATCGTGAGCTGAAAACTGAACTGCACAAACTAAGCTAACAATCAGCCAGGGACGGACTTACATATCTGGTGCCTTTAGACACAAAATTCTAATACACCCCCTGCTCCCCAACCATAATGAATTCATTAACTGAACATTGCTGGCCTGTAAGAATATATATATTTGACAACTACATATGAATAAATGTGCATATTTCTGTTATGCTTGTAATGTATTGTGTTTGAATTTGTGAGTACAGTGAGTGTGAGCAGCGGAGTAATTGTATGTAGGGTTAAAGATAATGTTAGAAGTGGTTACAGTAAAGGGGGTTAATGTCAGAGTTTGATAACATCGGGCGTTTAGTGTTAAGACGTTTAACAGCTTGAGATGGGTTAGATATATGTATACCACAAAAAATATGGGGAATCGGCTACTACTATATCAGAATGAAACACAACCATAGGCGTGCGCAGCTTATTGCATTAGGGTGTGCACCCTAAAGCACAAACACACGCCGCATGTATATGTATGTGTGTGTGTATATATATATATACACATATATATATACATACACATATATAAATATATATACACACACACATACATACACTGCTGTGTGTGTGTGTGTGTGTGTGTGTGTGTGCTGCGTGAGGGTGGTTTGAGGGTGTTGTGTGTGTAAGGGTGCTGTGTGTGTGTGTGTGTGTGTGTGTAAGGGTGCTGTGTGTGAGGGTGCTGTTAGTGTGATATGTGTGTGAGAGTGCTGTTTGTGTGCTTTGTGTGTGTGAGGGTGTTTGTGTGTGTGTGTTTGTTAGGGTCCTGTTAGTGTGCGGTGTGTGTGAGGGTGCTGTGTGTGTATTTGTGAGGGTGCTGTTTCTGTGCTGGGTGTGAGAGGGTGCTGTGTGTTTGAGGGTGCTGTATGTGTGTGGGTGCTGTATGTGCGAGGATGCTGTATGTGTGTGGGTGCTGTATGTGTGTGAGGGTGCTGTGTGTGTGTGGGTGCTGTATGTGTGTGCTGTGTGTGTGTGTGTGCTGTATGTGTGTGCTGTGTGTGTGCTGTATGTGTGTGCTGTGTGTGTGTGGTGTATGTGTGTAAGGGTGCTGTATGTGTGGGTACTGTATGTGTGTGTGTGCTCTGTGTGTGCTGTATGTGTGTGTGTGTGGGTGCTGTGTGTGGCGCTGTATGTGCGCTGTGTGTGTGTGGGTAAGCCAGGCGTGAAGGTGCGCTGGGTATGTGTGTGCTGTGTGTGTGCTGTATGTGTGTGTGTGCTGTGTGTGTGTGGTGTATATGTGTGAGGGTGCTGTATGTGTGTGTGCTCTGTGTGTGTGCTGTATGTGTGTGTGTGCTCTGTGTGCTGTGTGTGTGTGTGTGTGCTGTATGTGTGGAGGGCGGATTTATGTGTGTGTGTGCTGTGTGTGTGGGTGCTGTAAGTGTGTGTGTGCT